TAATGACTGCTTCTTGTACCAATTTTCCTAAATCTAAATAACAAATAGACCCGGGTCAGGTTTAATTGACTGAATTGCCATCAACAATCGTCTTTGACTTACGAAGCTAAATGATTTAACCGGAGTAAAAAGTGGCTGACACGAAAAGAGAAGTACTGACTTACGATCTCATGAAGATAGCTACGTAGGTTCGATACAATGTGAGTCCTTTCACTACCTAGATGATTCAAATGAAATGAGTCCAATAGATTTTTAATACCGAATAGGAATTCGAATTCACGGATCGGATATCTAGGGACATTATTAAGCATCTTAGATGTCCTATGGGAATTCGTCAGTTACAGGTTTCTTAAATTGTTTACATAAAGACACCTTTACACAAATAGTTATACGCCTCTTGAGCTCGTTTTTATTACCGCTGTCGGTATTTTTCGAGTCTTTCAGCTTTTTTTATTTTCTTGGTATTTGTAGGATCCTGAGGGAAGGATATACCTGGCCCCTATACAGAGTCTACCCCCCAAAAACACTGGTTTAGGACACAAAGACCTTTATTATTTTTTCTACACGAAGATTTCCTGACCGAATACATTTATCAAAAGTATTCAATCACGTGCTTCTCATTATATTGGGGTCAATCAGTTAAACTCAAGCGGCCCTTTGTTACAAGCCAATGTTAAGTGCTAAACTACGCTGTAAGTTAGTCTTCATATTAAACATATAGCTAGCAGTTCTACGTGGATTGGCTCCTGTCAGCTTTGATGACTCGATTCTCCAATGTTCTACTTTACAAAATAAGTATGAAGTACCAAAAAGTCTCCAGTCAAGTTTTGTTGCCTCAGAAAAGTTATATTCTCGACATTTGCTACAAGTAACCTACTTTTTCACTTTTTAACAATATTAGTTACAGGAAGCATATCTCAATAGATTTCCATTCACTGTTGCTAATCCAGCTGTTACCCAATTAGTCTCTCGTAATGGCTCTACTTTCGTGTGTCATAACAAGCCCATAGAAACAAAAAATCAAAGTTGTCAGACTGAAATACTTGATACCGAAACAAACTTAGAAGCTTTATCTACAAAAGTAGACCAAATCTTTCACAAGTTAAACTGTGTAAGTACTGTATTATTGGTATTATTTAATGCTGTTTTATTTTAGCACACATACGTGATGCTTTTCGGCATGTCATTGAACATAAATTTGCAAATTTATGTATTTGTTTAAAAACCAGCGTAGCCTCATTAAATTTTCGTCTACAATTAACTAGATTTTTCTTTTAGATATTTCACACAAGTGACCAATAGCATTTCTTGAATGTTTATGATTTTGTAAACAACGGTTTAATGATCATGGAATCCATAATCTCATTTTATTTATATTATGCTTTCATTTTTTTACAACTGTTGTTGTACATCAAAATCAGTTAGTAGTAAAGGCCGCGTGATAACATAGCTGTCGTTCCTTATTGAAGTTCACTGTATCTTCAAATTATTTACTTCCTTGACCTCTAATTGAATGTGTAATATCAATATTATTAATATATTGGTTGCATTACATACAATAGTAATAAGATTCTATCGTATAATTGCTAATCCATTGTATCATGTTCAAATAAATCGCCTGCTCATTCTATACCAAACTTCGTGAATGAAGGGCTTATCAGACCTGATGACTAACGACCAATCATCCGAGTACGAGATTTCTGATATATTGATATGGTGTAAATATAAACAGGAGTTTAGCAGTTAAGAGCTAAACCTTTAACTATTGAGTTACAGAATCGAAATTTATTGTTGGCTGTATTGTTACTCACGCCTGTTACACCTCGTGGAGGATTAAAGGCTGCCCACCAGTATTACCCACCCACCCTGTCCTGGGCAATCCTTTCCAGTTGCTATCCATTCTTTTGATATCTGCTTCCAGTTCCCGACATAATGTGTTCTTGGGTCTTCCTCTTTTCCCTTTTCTTCCAGGATTCCAAGTTGGCACTTGTCTCGTGATGCAGTTTGACGATTTCCACAATGTATGTCCTATCCACCTCCATCGTTTTATCTTTATATCCTTCTCAGCCGGTAGCTTCTGTCCCCGAGTAGGGTATCTTGCGAAGACAATTGTCTAGAATCACACAAGTTCTTGCTATTTATAAAAGTGGTCTTATACGCAAAGCGACTGTTTTGTTTAGAATCAATAATTGCTTTAATGAGTCCTTTCAATATATTATCTGCTCACGATTTCGCCGACGGTATTTAGTTTTATTAATAAATATTTTCTGTATCTAATTGACTCATCTTTGTTTCTTTACAGCATGCACTGAAATCTATTTCAGAAAGCAAGATAAAACACTTCCCCAAATTGTGGTTGGATTTAGGGGAATTAAACTATTCACCAGCGCAATATAATCTAGGTGTATGGTACGAAAAACAAGCATCTGAGTGCCTGTCTCTTCAGGATGGTCTGAAGCGACATTATAATAAACAGGCGGGTCATTGGTACAGTTGTGCTGTTCGGGGAGATTCCCATCCACTGGCTGCCTATAATTTAGCATGTCTTATTCTGGATTCTGAAGAACCCATAATCCATTCGAACTCATCAGATAAACCTTTCACATTTACAGTCGCAAATCTAATGAAACTGGCTGCTGATGGTAATGTCAAACAGGTTAGTCACTTTTTGGATCACAAGTTTATATACTCAGCATAATGACTCGCTGTTACAGCACGTACTTTATTGTCATGATTCTAGCTTACAAATATTATCAGCCTGAAATACATTCTTTAAAATTACTTCGGACTTTATTAGTTATTTTATTTATGACCGTACATGCTTTCAAAAAGACATCCGCCAACTAAATCAAGTAAGATAACTCAAGATAAATCGATTTATATTGATCAGCATTTGGTCTTTGCGCCGTCTTCCTGAACCTAGTGATGAACAGCTGGTCTAAATATTTATCCAACATACATATTTTCTCCATGATGAGCTATTTCCTCACATAAATTCTATGCAGTCAATGTTCACTTATTTCAACGATACTGGATGTACAAAGCATAAGATAAACCGGTAATTAGAGTGTTATAACTGAAATGGCGATCTTAATTGATGTTTTTTAACTCATCTATGTAAACATCTAGTATTATTTTAAAATAAATGGATCGCCTTTTTAGTTTCCAGGACTGGGTATTTTAAACTCCCACTAGTGCGTACATGTCCAGCTATGCTAACATCCAGTAATAAAAATAAAATAGAGAACTATCGCATCTGGCATTTTGATTTTCTCTTGATATGAACTGCTAGTTGATGGATAAGGTATTTTGTTACCCCAGATTTTGATTTATGCGATCCAAATCCCACTGTATATTTATTCCTGCCTTTCAACCAATCAATGTAAATTACTCGACAGTTTTCTTGTGTTGAAATTTTAGGTTCTAATTTTCACCAATGTAAACCACATTAACTTTTTAATCATCATCAAAACTGAGTCATATTATAGTCAGTCAGTCAGTAACAACGTAAAACTTCGTACGTATGTACATCAGTTCGAGTAGCCACACCACATTAGCACAGAGATCTTTTGGGAAAAGTGTTACTGGAGTAAAATGTTCATTATTTTGATAGATTTTATGTTTTTGTCAAGTTATAAGAAATATTTCATTTTTTCTTTATTCAGGCAAAGAAATACTTATCGGAACAATGTATTACAAAAACATAGTTGATTGGTCGATCATTTGAAATTCTTATTTTTTTCTAGTTATATTATTTTGAAAGCATTTACTAAAAACTGCATTTCATGACAACTTTCTAACAATCGTCTTTTTACTTTAGTATTTTTCATATCCCTCATTATTACTTTGAAATCTAAATAAAAGACAACTGGAAGAAATTATGTCTTTTTTTTAAATGGACATGGAGCATAATATAGTTCTATGCTACAAAGCCATATTAGTATTATTACTGTTTACCACTGCCATTGTTTATTAAGAGCAATTCATTTAGCATTATAATAATTTGGGAAGGGAGTTTTGACTACTTCAGTTATTACAGCCAACATTACAAATGCGTTTGCGATTTAATTGACTGATAATGTATATATGGATAGTGTTAGCAAAATACTGATAGTTCGAAAAAAGAAATGCTAGATTAGAAATTTCCGACGTCTTTACTTTAAAAACAATTTTTATAACTGGCAGTCAGAATTACCAATTCTTGTATTTGATTACCAGGTTAAATATTTCATTTTCTGTCTATTCTGGTTCACTTAGACAACCACCTATGATCTGACCAGCAAACAAGGTTCTGTAATAACATCTTCAAACCCTCATCTTTCCGATTACTGCTTATACTCTTACTACCTCTACCACTATGGATGTGAATCGACACTTGTATCTCTGCTAATGTGGTATGACAACTTGAACTGATGTACGTACGTAAGAAGTTCTATGTTGTTGCCGACTGACTGTTTTGATAAATGTATGCTCAGCTTTTTGACCGTCAAATATCAGGGATAGATTTCTTGGCAGTACGATATTTCTATAGATCTTTGTTTTTATGGTTATGTAAGAGTTCATAACAATAACTAGATTTCCAAGACATCATACTGTTATATGATGTTACTTACTAGGTGGATTTTCAGCACAGCTTATTATCTATACTTGAGATAAATATTTAACTCTGTGAGGATGCATTTTGTCATATTCATACTTTAGTCTAACTGATAGTTACTCAGGTACTTCTGTTTGAATGTACCATTTCTATGAGAATAATTAAAATAGTTGCCAAGTGGATTGATGATATATATATATATATATATATATAACCATTTTCACACTCGTTCGATTTCTCAAATCAGCTGCGCTCCCAAGCTCCGTAAAACAACGTTGTTACTCATTGACTAGCGGTCGGTTCAATTGTTCACATTTTTATAAACTTCGAAAAAGAATGTTCGATGACGCGAATCAATCACAGGTTCGTGATCTTTATTCCTATAATGATAAAGAACTAACTTAATCAACTTAAAAATAGTATTTTTTTTGTTGAGATGAAAAGATCAACATAATTATCATGAGTGTATAAAGAAAGAAGAAACCCAATGTACTGGGAATTGATAATAAATCTAGGAAAAGTGAAGGGCAAATTGAACAAAATGTGGATTTTAATAATAAATGTTAAGTAATATTAGTTGTTTGTCCATTTTCTGATAAAGAATATAATATACCCTTACATAGAAAAGAATTCGCTCACTGGAATGAAAAGGACCAATAGCGAGATAATAGAAAACAATACAGTAGGTTAACTATTATTAACATGTAAACAACGTAAATTATCACAGTTCCAAAAAGTTAAAAACACATCAAAATTTTCTGGTAATTGTATGATAAATCAACTGAAGTATTGACTGATTATCTTACATTCAGCAATTAATAAATATAGTACTGACTAGTTAGTTAGCTTGTAAGTAAGAAAAATAAAAGATACATTCAAAATTGCCTGGTGATGATAATCATTAAGGTACATGTTTAGTTTGAGTATCTGGACAATTCGTATCTGTATTTGTCGGAGTCTTCACATTCATACTTGTTTTTATATTATCCTCTAAGTTAGATGGTGGGAATTCTAGAAGTTCTATACCCTGTTGTACTTGAGTTAATGTCTGTTGCATCTAAAATATAACGAAAAAATGTAAGTGCACAAAAGATTGATAGATCAATTATATAACTACTCAACAGTTGTATAATATATGAAAAAGTTGTATTTGAAGTATATATATATATATATATATAGGATCGAAGTGATATTAATATTCTCTTACCTGTATAAGTGTTTTAGATAACAGGTGTATGAGATCTTTCATCACTTTTAATCGTGTTCTTGCCCATTCAGGTGATTTTGAAGCTAAATGATCCTTGTATATTGGTATAGATCCTCGATCTTCTTGTGGTGATGTTCCAAACAGATCATGAAAATGATTCCGATCATGAGCTGATAAAGGAGGGAATTGTTCCGCTAGTTTTTCTAAAACTACTAGCCGATTATATACCATTGATAAGAATAAGCAAAGTAATAAACCTCTGTGAAAGAGAAAATGCAACAAGGAAAATTCAATGACTGATTTCAGTAAGTTAATAGTATAGAAATATATATAGTTTTGGGCGAAATCTGCAAAATATTGAAATGAAGTATTATTAAGTGTGGAGAAAAATTATTGCTTTAAATCTCTATATTTAATCAGTCAGCCGAACCAATTTGAGGAAATAAATATCTTTTGCTGATTCATTGTGATTTCGTAAAAGCAGTTTTGTTATCTCATTAAAATTAAAGTTTGTTTACTACTATGAATCCTTGTCCATTGCTTTGTAACCCCTGAATTTATAAGTACATCGGAATATGTTTCGAGTAGGTACAGTCTTGTGAAATGCGAATACAACAATCTGGCGATTGTCAATTCATGGGTATAATAGTTTTTACAAGGTATGATAACAAATCGACTTCAAAAGTCTAACGTAATGAAATACGCCTCACTCATTGAGTCCATAATGATCAGTCACAAAAACTTATGCGGCTCTTTCAAATAAAGTATTCTGCGAACAGATGTATTCATTAATAAAAATGGTTGTATGTATGAGAAGGGAAACATCGAATACAATAAATAGAAACCGACTTGAAATTGAAATATGGAGTAAAAGAAGTACAAGTTAATTTAGTTTATGATACAGTACTGATTAAATAGTCCTATAAAGAAGTTTATTAGTGGAATTATCTAAAAATTGTCCCTTTGTTCGCCATGTGTTTGAATATACACAATAATACTGAATTCTAATCAAATAAAGAATTTTCTACAACTGCTACAGGGGTTACATAGTCTTTTGATGTATCTACGATTCATTGAAACAACATGACAAACTTCTACCACTACATGTCTTCCATTCATGCGACGTATTAGTCGATTCGGCCGTTTAAACAATGAATTGAGAAAATAAGTCTTCATATTAATTGTATCAAACAACCACTAAGTACATGTTTATGTACTGTTTTGAGTTACATTGTATGGGGGATAGTGATGTAGTGAGGTTAGAACCTGTAACTTTCTGATTAAGAGATGAGTGTTTCAACCATTGATTTACTGCTTTATTCATCAGCTCATAAATTATTCAGATATTTTACTGATAAATGAGAAAAGAATCCCTGAGAAAGCAAGTAGGGACAATTGAATGTATGTGAACACAAAATTACAGAACGTCTGAGAACCATATAGTAAATACTTAGTTTGCAAGATGTTAATTAATTGTCTCACACTTGACTGTTCCTTTTGCAAATATCAGTCAATCGTCTCAGTCTTCATTCTTTCATTTTCACACCAATCACTCTTTGTTTTTGTCCTCTTTTCCTTGATCTTCTGCATTCAGACATTTCACCTTCGACTGATGATATATACTACTTATATCTGTCGACATTTGTAGCACATACCACATGGTAAATAAGTGGAACAAAATAATAAACCTCTTTCTCTGACCAATAATTTATTAGGAAACTTTCGAAGTGAATTTAACACAAAAAATACTTGCGCGAAAAGACCACTTACATAATAACTAGTAATAACCAAGCACGATCTGGACGCATAAATAAGTAAGTCATATCACCAGACCCAAATAGTGTAGTTTTATTTTGTTTTTTAACATTTGTATTATCATTTATACAGCTGTTGAATATAGATGATTTCGCTTGGTCAGAATATCGTGATGCAGGAACTTTACTACTGTTTACATTCCCTGTAAACAATGCATCAGCTTTATTAAGTTTACGATTATTCTGATTGCCATTAACACTTTGAATTAATAGTGGATTATTTTGAATATTTGATGGATTTAAAGAAGGAGTAATATTATTTAAACATCCTCTCTGTTGTGCTAACCAACCACCGGTTAGACGTTCTTCTAAGGATAAATTTGTAGAGAATTCTTTTAATTTAATAGTTATTGTATCAAAGAAATCCGAAAGACCAGAATGACAAGTGTTTTCTATGATACTTTTTGCTCCAAAAAACACTGGTTTCTCATAAATAACTTGTGAACTAACATGTAGTCGGCTAGTTGTACGATTTACATACAATAAGCAATAACGACTAACTACATAGAAACAATTACTTAGTGGTACAGCATGATTTGTAACTTTAGCATCAATGATATATCTTTTCCCAGATATGGATTCACTTGAGAGAAGAGTCTGAAATTCACAAGAAAAAGTAAAACCATTTGTAAATATTTAAACTTTGCGTTAATTTATCTAAAATTGAACAAAAGAAAAAGTATCAGTTGAGTAAAAAAAGTGAAAGAATAATACATGGTTAAATTAATGAACACTACCGATATATATTGTTATTTATAATATCTTTAGTTAGAAAGATAAATAATTATAATTAAAAGGAACATATAAAGAGAATTATTATTAGAGTTCTTTTCTGTACAATAAGCAAAATACATGAACTCTAACCATAGACTATAATATTTGTATGATGTTAACTAACACCATTGATCAATATGAATGGCCAAAACAAACTGTTCTGTTAAATTAAATACACATTACAAATAATTGATGGATGTTCGCTAAAACTAGCATAATCTATGCGGATTATTGGTATTAGAAAACTAATCAATATTACGTAGACGATTTAATTCGAACATAAATCCATAGGCGATATAACCATAGTGAATGATAACAACCTCAAATGGTAAAGATTTAAACAAATGATTATAAATCATATTCTAAAGAACCAAAGGTTCTCAATCATTATCAAACTCAAAACTGCATATTTTCCTAATTTTCAATGAAGTTAAAGTCATTATACTAAGAAACTAGTTCGCAAGTATGATTGATCTTCGCAGGAGAGAAGGCTTATAAAATATATATACAAACAGATGAAAAAACTCATAACTTAAAAATAATGGCTAAGTTTTGACAAATAATGATTATTTTAGTAAAAAACCAACCAACAATACAATGGGATTAAACTAATATTAGTACTAAATTTTTACATTGAAAATAAAATGTGACTGTATATAAAATTAAAATTATTGAATTTTCACACGTATAGCATCACCTAGGTGGACTGTGCTATGAGTCAATGAAACACGACACTGCACTGTTACTTTCTTTTTTCTTTCAAATTAGTTAAATTCATGTTAAAATTGATAAAACAAATAATGAAAATCTGATTATTTGTTCCATTGCCACAAAATGATTTTTGTGTAGTAGCTCTTCTCCTAAAAATGGTTTTATACATCTAAGAGTTTTGGTCTCTGCCAAGGACGTCCACGTGGTGAAAGTGATTTTACAGAAAGAGAAGCTGAAAAACAAACGTCTATGAGTTAAACTCCGCTTTTAAATATGGATAGTTCACCTGAAGGAGCTAGAGAACCATTATTCCAAGCTGATGGTGTACATAGGATCTAGATATGAAGAATAGTGTACGAACCTATTTAGACCACTGGCTACTATGGTAATACATCTTATGAAGTTGCTTAATCGCCTTATGTATCATGATCTTCTTTCAGAGCTTATAAGATTAGTTCCAAAAGAAAAAGAAGGGAAAAGAGAGAGAGGGCCGAGGAAAGATGTTGTTCATTGACATGTGTATTTACTTTCAGATAGAATAAAAACCATACATCCTAGTAGATAAGAAATGCAAACATCTTATCTGGTAAGTTAAACTGCATACACAACCACCAAAATAGTTGCTTTCTTACTAGCACTACTTGTTATTAGCAAGTAGTATGATATTTATTTATGCAAAAAGATCGGACTGTGGACAATGTTCATCTACTTTAACAACAGCTTCACGGAGGAGACTAAAATAGCAGGTTAAAAAGAGAAATCCATCGTTACAATTTTCTGTTTCTCTATAAATAAATAGTTTTCCAAAGCATTTTGGAAAAAGAGTGTGTTACTGAATTAGATAAATAGCATAATTATTTAAGGGACAATCAATAAACGACATTTTCGATTTAACAAGAATTACTTAGCATTACTTTTAAAAATTTATCAAAACTTTAAGATGGAAATTGTAAAATAATTACCTGTTGTTCTACTGCCGTGCATGTTCTTGGGCCGAGTTTCTGTTTTAATGTCAGTGTATAGGTAATAGTTCTTTCAATTTTACTAGGAGTTTCTAACTGATTTAAATATTCTGAGGGACTAGACCACTTGAATATTGGCCATGGAGATTGAATCATTCCAAATGTACCACGATGTTCACTGAATCGCGAGAAGAATTCGGAATCCGTGAAAATACATTGAAATAAGGCGTTAACATTCAATGGAATGTCAGTGTTTGTATACACTCTACCTGGATGATCGTGACCTGGACCACATGTAACAGGAGGTTCCACAGAACTTACTACAGATGTATCTGGAAGTGACGGATCCTGAGTATTCAAGTAATTAAGTTGCATTAGTTTTGAACTAGATACTTCATCATGATGGTGAGATCCGAGACGCTTTTTTCGTGTACGTTTCTTTTTCTCTTTTACAGATTTATGAGGCACTTGAAAACTATCTGACATAACTTCATTTGGTGTAGTTCCTGATGTTAAATGACATTTAACTTCAGGGGTCGGACAACGTTTGATAGTGTTTAGTTGTTGAGACTGTGGTTCATCTCCAATTGCACTGAAGTGACTCGGATCTGAAAAGGATGGAACATGTTTAAAAGGAATATCAGCATCGGATACAACTTTTAATTCATCATCCGTAGTTCCTAGTACGGAACATTTAGAAGAGCGATCGAGATTAACTGGTTGATCCGAATGGCACACATCTTCAAGTGAAGCCGACTTCGATCGACCAGTGAGTTGTGAAGACAGAGATGAATCGGATAAAGTTCGCGGCTGCTTGTGATGAATACAAAAAGAAAATTGGGATATACATATATATATATGAAAAGGACCATAATGATGATCATGATTTGTAATGAACTAATACAAATGAATACAAAAATCTAAGTTTGAAAATTAATGACTTTCAGTAGATTTAAAAGTGGTTCTCAAAACAAGCAAATTCTACTTGTAACAAGTTTCACATGAAACTGTGTATTTTCAACTATAGTCGTTGTTATGCTATGGGTTTAATTAATCTTCACTTGTACCAGTTTTGGTGATCTTATTTCGCGTCATGGGAATTGCAAAGGTTCCTCATTTTACAAGTATAAACAATAAGTGATTCCAACATAACAATTAGCAGTAATCAGTCATAACATAAACCTTATATTGATTTATAAGAATTTGATTAACAAACGAACAATTCTCATTTCAATTTAGATAAATAGGGATTTTCAATAGTTTTTTTTTAAAATAAATTTTTTAGTTGATACCATTCTCTGATGATGAAAACAACAAAAAAACTATCCATAAACTATTTATGATTTTTAACATTAAACCATTTCATATTGAGTCCAGTGTAACCGGAAAATAATTATGAATAAACCTACTGGTTTAATGAATATACAAAACAAATGGAAACAAAATAACACAACTCTAATTAATAATAATAATAATAAAGTTAACCATTTTCATAAAAAAAAACCCATAATCCATGTGACTTTCGACTGATTTCAAATGAGTATTTTATACTCTTTTTTTGTTTTATATGGTCAAATTACAAATGAATAAAATAATGATGGTTTTAAAAAAAACACAGTGTGTAAAACAATGTTTGAAGAATTTAAAGAAAAGAATTACTTAGTAAATTTTCAATATAGAGACAATGAACTAACTAAATTTGTAAGAATACATAATAGAGTTTAATGAAACACCAAAGGATTTATTTGTAACTATATGTTTTATTATATAAATAAATATTGAATTGAAAAAAAACAAAACATGATAGTAAAGAATAATGAATTATGAAAGTTCATAACCGATTATGTCTCTGAATAAAAATTTAAAAATTGTAATAGTAGGCGAAGGTTTATTTGACAATTTGAAATTATTGCATTTATAAATACTTTAAGAATATTGGAAACATTTTATTGATGATATAAAGTAGTATAACCAGATGAATAAACACAGATTACCAATCTGTAAGTTAGATTTAGCATGGTAAACAATTAATTATTTTTTAATGTGTAACCTACTGATACTGATGAACTGTACAGTACAATAAAATGTTATGACAGGTAATCAAAACTTCGTAGTGGGAAACGGTTACCTAATAAATGGATTATCAGAGTTAAGTCCTAAACGAGGCCCTTTTGGAGAAGTAATTTATGTCAGTGACCTAGTGAAGAAAAGTGAACTTGGTTGTTAGATAGTTTGATTTACAATCATTAAGTTATAAATTCATTATGAAACCTTCTTCAACACTATGATGTACCTGAGAAGATCGTCAACACCACAAGGAATTCATACGACCGACTATACTGCAAAGTCGTGCATAGAAGACAGCTAACAGACATGTTCCAAGTGAGGATCGAAGTCAGACAAGACTGCTTACTCTAACCCTTACTCTTTCTTCTGGTAGTTGACTGGATTATGAATAATATACAGTTACTTCTTACACTTGTCTCCAGTTTTACTGATTTTTTATCAGATATCTCACAGTCTGAACATATTAAAGGTGAATACATAGAAACTATTTTAGTTCATACAACTTATGTGTTCTTATCTAGGCTTACAATAACAACACTTTATGTTAAGTTTCCTCAAATATACGTGTTTAACGTAAAAACCATGCACAAATGTAACAGTTACTATTAAAAAATACTCTCCCACCCTCTGAAAGAGGTACTAGTTAGCGAAGATTGTATACAATCATTCCAGTTAAGCTAGAAAACAGATTTCACAACAGACTGTTTTCAGCTGAAAAATTTCCAAAATATGTTTTACCCTAATTCAACACCTTAAAGCAAAAAATACTCACAAAGTTATATAGGATAATTCATCATTGGATCCCAAATTATTAACTAAATAATATCATTCCTATCAGGAAATCTGAAAGCTTTATTTTCAATCCTATATACATATGCTATTGAGCTAATTCAAATTAAGTCATAGTGATTATTCAGTATGCATAGATATTTACCATTTATTTAATCGGAATCAGTGTCAATGATTGGAACACCTTAAACAACCGTTTATTTGAATAAAATTCATGTTAATTCCAATACGATATGATGTAAGAAACATTACTAATCTTCTTTTAGTTATCTTTAGAACTGCAAACTTTCCATTGACTTATTTCATAACAAGTTAAATTGTAATCACATTATTATAAAAATGTATTCTGCTGATAGTATACACTATTAGTACATTTCAGATTAATTTATATTCTGCACATTAAACAATTTAAATTCAATTATTGTGTTTAACATCAATTACTCGATGAATTGCGTTTGTTGACAAGAATTTTTAAACTGTCTATAATCATTTCACAACAAGGAAAATAAGCCACAATGTTAAAACACTTTAATTTAAATGGCTATATTAACAACCAAATCGATAAACCTCGATTAACACTAAGAAACCGATAAGAATGATTACCATTACACAACCTTATATATATATGATTGATGAGTAGAATCACTGTTTGAGGTTATTTGTCATTTTTAAAAATAACGAATATGGGTGCATAAATTTTAATCTGATATATTATCATCATATAGTGCATTTGTTTATGTTAACTCTTCGAAAGACCATATATGTATATGATAGATTAAGGCTAACATTTTTCGAAGTGACCTTATATCATATTGTGTAAGTAGACATATTGTTTAATGATCCACTTTAAAATTTCTTTATAATCTAAATAATTCGTTGTGTGTTATTCAAGTTAAGACATCCCATCAATTTGTATATTTTCAATGTTTATTTATATGAAATATTCAAAGTTTAAGCATTTAATTGAAATATACAATACATAAGCTGTTGAAAAGTGAATGGAAATCAAAACGGCAATCCACTATGATAAACATAGGATGGCGGTCCGGTACTAGCAGTGAGATTAACTGAGGTCTTAGGGAGAATTTTGGAACTGGACGTAATCCCATCTGACTGGTCTCAATCACTGATTGTGTCAGTTTATAAGAAAGGACAAAAGTCCTCTTGTGACAATCACAGAGGAATCAGTTTGACTAATATAGTGTCTAAAATATTAGCTTCAATAATACTTCGACGCCTAATCAAAGCTCGTGAAGAGCAGACTAGAGAAAATCAGGCTGGTTTTCGACCTGGACGTGGTTGTATAGACCAGATATTAACATTATGTCAGGTCTTAGAACATAGACACACATTCAGACGTCCCACAATCGTAGTATTTCTCGGCCTTAAGGTTCTATTGATCGCGAGATGATAGCAACCGATGGTTAGAGACCTTGAATGACATGGTTCAAAATCGTTTGCAATGACGCAGGTGCATACACTCTTTGTGTTCTCCTAAATTATAATCTTCAGAATTCTTCATCTCCCTTTCTTTCTCTTTCCAAATTTATTTCATTGGGTTATACTCCCAACCCTAATCTTTCCGAATACTGCTTATACTCGTTCTCCTCTACCAGTGTGGGATTTGAATCGACAACTGCATCTCTGTGCTAATGTGGTATGGCAACTCGAAATGATGTACGTACGTACGAAGTTTTACGTTGTTACTGACTGACTGATAAACATAATCCGCATTCATATTTAACATAGTAGCAGACAAGAAATATAATATAAACTGACGTGTGCTTAAATCTTTTTGTCAACTGATAATGAAGTTTTTAATGTAATGAAATAGTGAAGGTAGGTATTAAATAACTCTAGTAAACTTTATTACTTTTAGTGTGTAAAGGTTTTCATGTCAGAGAAAACAATGGTTCTCAAATAAAATTGGGCATATGTCACTAAATATGGCCACAAAAATTTATTAAGTTAATCTGGATCATCAACTTGTTCATAGAAGATTTGAACTATGGATACTGCCATCAGTTATCTTAGAAAGTTTACATTACAAAAGCTAACGATTGAAGATTAGAGCAATTTTGATGAGATACGAAGGCATATGGAAAACTCTACATACTGACACAGATTTCCAATAATGGATATTATATGTATAATTATGTTGTGATGTCTAGAAATTTATTCATCAGTGATTGTTTCATTGTATATGCTAGACAAATGAAATTTATTATAGGTTCTCAAGCACTAGCGTCTGACCTTGTCGATATCCTTGCGACACTATGTATGAGGGGTGAATTCGTATTAGTTTGGTCGGTCATAGATATAACATTTATTTACAGAATACAACTGCTAGTTTTACTTGTAAGAGATCGATTTAATGAAATTTAAGCTTTCTAAACAACCTTCAGTATTTAGTTAAGGTAAAAGAAAGTGTAAAGACAGATACGAAATAAGTAACACAGATCGAATGAAACAGATGATCTTCTGAGACTTGTTCAGATTACAGTACATTTGTATTTGAGATCTTAGAACTTCTATCCCCTCTGGAGTTTTGCATTTATGTTATGTTTACAGTGATCTTTGGTGAAAAAAGTACACGACTGTCAAAGTCAATCTTTACCTGCACCACGTTCTGCAACTCTATGTCACAAAACTGGACATTCTCAAGACAAGTTGACAATTACTAAAGGGCATGTCAAACCTAAAAATGTTATGAAACTAGTGATAGAGATTGGTTGATACACTAAACAATGCCATGGTCATATAGCTAAACTTTAGTAGGCTTTTGTAAAATTAGGAAACAGTAATTGTTAACATTTCGTAAATCTTATATAAAGTAACTATAAATCGGAGAGAATGGAAACTGTAGCTACATACAGATTACTTAAAACATTATAAATAATATAAATCATCAAGAGCCTGAGAATTAAAGAACATTTCGAAGTATATCATCAGACTTGGAACACTAAGTGCACAACGTATGTGACCGTTTTAAATAGTTGTTTGGACTAAACAATTCAAAGCCATAAGAAATTATAAATTTCAAACTAGTATCACCAATCATAGAGTTATTCAGTGTGGGTAACCCATTTTGAATCATACGAAAGATAATTTGAACTACCATATAACCAACCCGACCATATCATTAACTAACAAAGAAGTGACTATATAAGTAGTATCAAAACAGTTACTTTTTCCAAGACAAAAACTTTGTATCCATTGGTATCCGACAAATTTATGTCGATAGCAAATGAGGTATTCTTTGAGTTACAACAGAGAAAACAAATATATAGATGGACACATACAAAGACGAAACAGCTTTGTAGTGCACCCTGATTTTCAGCTGTTCCTTATTTAGTACTGTTTCATGATGTAAAACAATCAAAATTAATATTGACAAAACTCTGGGCAAAGCCCTATGTATGTATTCAGAACTAAATGACTTGGAGATTCATTTTCAAAGTTCTAGTCAGATATCAAAGATGATCAAATTCAGATATGTACGGAATGGGGTTGTTATATAACGATGGCATCAAGTTTGACTATATCGAAGAGAAGCTTAAAATGTAGACTATTGAGTTGTGACTCATTAGCTAAAATAAATATTTTTTGGAGGTTTTAGGTACAATTTCTGACGTGATGATAAGTGTAAATTGCTATTAACAAGTTCCATACTAAAACGGAATATCTATCCATTGCTAATATTCTAGTTGGTATCAATTATTGACAAAAACAAGTATAATAGAAAATGTGGAACAAATAGCAACAAGAATTAACTTACCATATGAGGAAAAGTAGCTGGCACTAATTCAGCATCACCATCTGTATCTTCTTCATCTTCAACCATAGCTAAACTATAATCACCATACATATCACGTATTTGTTGTAATATTTCATCAATACTCATTGTCTACATTTAGCATATAACAATTGAAGATATGAAAAAAGACAAAATAAGGATATTTCTATACAAAAAATGAACAATATAATTCACTTGAGTAATAGTACAACATCGATAAGATTTTGTTCCTTGTTGGAAAATTTTAACAAATCAATCTAGTTCAAATTGTTTCGTGGTACATGAGAATATTGTAGTAGTACACTCTCTTATGTTCTAACTTAATTGTACTGTTGTGCTTCCAATTAATCAAATTGACATATCAAACACTTTGTAGGATTAGTTAAATTATCGTAGACATCCACTAAGAGTGACTAATAAATTTGTTTGGAAATACCAGATTTTTTTTAAGTAAACATAATGGTTTCTATACACAGTAATTTTAGAAGTGGAATTCTTCAAGGAATATTACTAATCTGTGACTAACGATTAGGTTAAACAACAGAAAAGTTGAATTACAGTTAACGAAAAGAACTTAACCTTCGTTAATTCTATAACTTTTTCTACATGAATTAGAACGATACAAGAATCAAATTAGCTATGTACAAAATGATGAAATTCGGTAGTAATTATCCAAGATCGTAACCATCATAAAAACATATGAAACAATTAAACGAAATATTGAAAAACTAGCATGTATGTAAAGTTATTTTACAAGGCAAACTACTATTTTAGTGAAAAGATAACTTAATTATTTACGTATTATATGACAAATTGGCAATGGAATGAAGATGTTTTTTTAAATAAAAGTGTCATAATTATACAAGTTCCTGATAGAGTTAGCCAATGAACAAAAATTTATAGTTCGCGATATTTCATATGAAGATAAATAAACACACACACACACACACATTAATACAAATACGGAGATTAAAAAGTTAACTATTCTAATGATTATAAACTTTAAGACCAACGTAGTCTGGCATAAACAAAGCATTAGCTTAATTAACTCTGAAATCTATTGAATTTAATGGTGAGATTAATTGAAACATTTTCTGAATGTTCATTAAATGTGATATACCAAGTACAACATTCAGTCATTTTTCTGTTCATTCTATTTGATAATTATTGTATATTAAAGTGTAATGTAAAATAAATATTTTATTGCAAGCAAATAAGATGTTCTATGAAAATGTTAATGTCTAGTGAGAAAGAAAAATACACTAAGAACCAGGGTTTGAAATGAAATATTTAACGGATATTCCTCTCTAATAATCAGCCATTACTTACTAAGTGAAAGAAATAACGATCAAAGTGCTGAATACAATGAAGTGAAAATGTTGTGAATAACCTGAACCGAATTTACAACAAACAATTTTCTTACAACGAGCTAGAAAAAGCGAATCTAATTAATCTTTCATATGTATTATTTTCAGTGAGTTGTTCACAAGCAACATAACAAATAAAATAGACGATTAATTATTTTGATGGGAAAGAAATGATAGTAAATAGACCTGTCAACCACCAAATTTCAACAGAAAGTTTGAAAAGTACAAAGTTTCTTCAGAACTAATATACACTTATTCATTTATCTATATAATTTAGCCCTAGATAACACAATAATACAAGTTACTTAAAGCACAGAAAACTCTTTCTGATCAGATACAAAAAAGTAATCATAGACCAGTATTCTTTTAAGAAACTGGCTTCAGCTGATTGCTCGAAAACTGTATCACATTATCATTCACTAAAAAAAGCTATGGGCAATATGTCGTTTAAAAAAACACTGCAAGAGTTTGATGACACTACTAGTTTCATGTAAAAAAGAGATAACTAATTTTTTGTTCAATAGACGAACCTGATTAATATTAAACCAAAGGTCAGAAATATCAGTATTCAAATCTTGAGCTTATCGTTCGATAAACTGATAATCTTTATCTCTTTTGAGTCTAGAAAAAGTAATCTTTTTAGTACGTATACGTGATAATTAATTCTTTGTCTATATTTTGATTAATTAATCACAGGGTGGTAAGAAATGTCATATATCTCTAGTGTTTAGTGCTGATTGAATCCAAGTTACAACATAGCCACTGGTCCAAGTGATTAAAGGCGATTAGCAGGAAGCCAATGACCTAAGTTTCAAGCTATTTGACGTACCTTATTACAAAGAATATACTTGCAGTCTAAACGGAATTATTGTTCCACATGGAATAGGGACCTATATTATCCTGCTTTACAATCACATGCGATACTAGACAGCTATTCGGGTTACTATGAGTCTCAGGTCACATAACACTTCATCCTTTGTATTTTCTTTATTGTTAAGATTTTAATTGGAATATACGTTATAAAAATGACTGAGATTAAAAAGATACGCTCAAAGCATTTATGGGGTTTTTCCAAACAAAGGTAGTAAATAATTCAGGCTGGAATTAACACAAGTCACTGATTTTCACGATGAAATTGCATAACCAATAAACCTATTAGATATAGAGCACAAACTAGAAATAAAATCTATGGAGTATGTAATTTTAACTAAATACCTGTAATGATACACTATTACTTCAACTACAGATCTAATGGGTTCGGTACTGACACATTACAATCATTTTGGATAATGTTCTTGAACTCTTTTGGATAGAAAACAAATCACAGGATCAGATGAATTGATAAAAAATATATATGGAAGCGATCAGGAATAAAAATCAATGCTTAAGAACTGATAAGAATTTACTATAAGGTGATATACCGCAGATAAAAATAAACGTTAGTTCCAACGATCAACATGGTGAATCAGTTCTAATAAACACTACAACTGTGTACGTTTCAGTAAATGAATTGTAATAACAGAATACGTGATAACTAAGACAATACCTGTCTGCCTATCCAAACCCAGGCCGATGTCTAAATCTGGAACTTACTGTCGAAAGTCAAGTTCCTTAACTGTTAAGTTGTTTAGTAACTATTATGTCGTTCAAAAGTATAAAAAAATGAGAAGAATTTCAGACAACCAAGAGAAGTCACACATCACAGTAGAAATAGGATCACTGAGCATAAATTTAGTGAATGTTCTGAAAAAAAAGATACACAGTCCTTACACAAGCTATAAACATTAGTACTAAAGAAAGAAAAAATCACAATCTAAGTTGACTCCATGCCACTCCTCCCTCTTACTCATTTTTCGTTAATTAGTTACAGTTAAATAATTCAGTCAAGAAGATACATATAATATAAAAATGGGAGGATTTCAAGTTTCCATCACACTGGAAAATAGAAAACACAGACACAGAACTAGCAAGTACGAAATAGCGTGAAATATAAGTATAAATACATATAGATGTTGAGAATAACACCGGTAATTTCTAATAAATTGTTCATTAGTTAACTATATTCCACCATTTTGTAAGCAAAACTATAGCTGACATTGACAAATTTCTCACTACAAAATACGTTTAGTTTCAGTATCACCACAAACTGTAGAGCGTTAACCGAAAGAAAAACAGTTATTATTGAGTTTTAGACATTGAAAAACAACTAACAACTTTACAAGTTATAATTGAAAGACTAAACATTTTTTGTAAATCTGAATAAAATTCAGAGCAATTGAGTTAGAGACGAGAAAAGTGTATATTTTTTAAAAGTTATTTACAAGAAACAGGAGAAAAAAATTAGAGAGAAAGAAACATGTAGTGTATGGATAAGCTCAATGTATCATCACAATGTTAGACTGCAAACGACAATAATAATAGCAACAAGCATAGCTTACCTGATTTATTTGTACAAGTGTCTTGTGTTTTCACACCGGGAAAAGATAAAGATTTCGATATTAATGACTAAGAGACAAGTATTTCATGTGCTTTAAAGAAAAGACTATTTATTACATTGCCAATGAACTGACGTATTCATTTCTATGTTTACAAGTATATATGTACATATGTACTGGTAATATATATGATTAGAGAATCAAAACAATATGAAATAAATAAGGGAATTCAGACGCATAATTACTGTTGACTAAATCAAAGATTACAAACACTATGGGTTGCTTCTTGAAAAAAAATCATCATCATTTACTCATCCACTGTTCATTATAATAAGTTGAAAAATTCAACTTTTTCCTATCGAAATCATTAAAAAATAATCGAAAAATCCAGATAAGGAAGTGGCAGAAAGCAAGACAAATATCGATCGACGGTACTTTCTATTACTTGAAGTTAAAAACAACATCGAGACCCTACTCCACTTAATTCAGTCTCAGTAACCAGATAGAATTATTTTAACCATATTAAATAAGTATTATGAATCAAATTGAATGAATACGTATAAATATGTGGCGAAACTTTGACGATATATAGTTCATAATTCTTTTGAAAGCACATAATAATTTATAATTTAATGTAGATAGAAATTGCAATGGTTCTTTAATATTAATTTATTTTCAATGTGGGGGTTGTGGGGTGTATTGATTTTTTGCATTGAAATCATTAACCAATCAATGCTAAACCACGATTAAAAAACTTGAAGCAGTAGATGAGCGTCTCGTCCTGGTATGGGATTTCCCGGCAGTACACATCCATGACCCTTCAAGCGTGAGTCGATCCCAGCACCTTTGATTTCACGCACAAACATGTAACCTTTAGACAATCCAATAGTGTAAATGCCCAATTTCAACCAATCCACGATACTGCGCGATTATCTAACAATGTCTTCGGTGGGTTTGTTTATTTTATTTTTCTAGTTCAAATTTGTCGATCGTAAATTTTAATACTCGAACATTATGACATACAGAATACCATTGAAGGAATCTATGTATACTGAGCAGGATCAAAGTGAAACTGGTATAGAGCGGACTTGTGACATCAAAAATCACTATGAGTTTGTTTCATGAATGAATAAGAAAAAAGACACTTAATGGAAGTAAAAATATTTGAGCCCAAAAGTTGATTAATAGAACAAGTAAAAAGATGTATACAGATCTCGACCCTATAAGCTGACCAAGTATATTAAGCATATAACCTGATCAACGAGAGCTTATTTGATCCACCATGCGTCAGAAAAAATAAAACACATTTGGTTTATAATAGTATTTCCAAATGATGTCCCTTCCCAATGAACAACTACGGTTGAAAGTCATTAAGCTATGCTGAGTGAACACATTTTTACATTTCACATTTTAAGATGTTGACACTTCATAATATTATCTAAAAGTATTTAGAAAAAATTTATCAAGATAATCATTTGTTTATATAATAATCTTGTTTATATTAATATATTTAGCTTTCAAGGCTAATTTACAGTGGAAAGAGTTATCAAATCCAGGACAATTATTTCCCATTACTGTATATTAGAGTAAAGCCTGATGAGGATCTAATCAAAAACAATATTGTTCGCTTATATATGTTGTTCTAAATCACAATATGGGAATTTTTCAAATTTATGAATTCAGCAAAGTAAACATTGAGATGTGATATGATATAGGATGGCGATCCAATGTTTTAAAATTAAACAAGCAGAAGACATTTTATATGCGTAACTTCTTTTCTATCCTATTCACGGTTATATGTTAGTGCAAGTTATTGTAGACATGTATGCAATTAGACTAATAAAGAAAAAAAAATTTTCTTCCTACAAAATAACATGTTAATGGTAAATATTTCTAACTATTCAAGTAGAATGATCCACTGTTATCTCATACAGTCTATGGTAAATAATATAATCCTTTTAGTTCAAAGAAAACTCAGTTGATCAACAATATAACTCACTAATCACGTGGGATTTTTATACAGATGACTATTCATATCGACGTGGGAGTAGCGGCGGTCCGTAATTGTGAAAGCTAAATGTTATAATTATGTGGCTAGGCATTAGTTAGCATCATTAAAATTACAATCACAAAAGAGACTTGACAGATAGTAATCATAAAACGATAGTTATACATGTTTCACGATATTTAAATTATCAGGTAATTCACTCCGAGATAATCCAAACCATTTCAAAATAAACTGAGTGCATGGTTATGTTTTCTCTACAACTAATCTCTTGATAAAAAAATATAGATGGAAGAAGATAGGAATACCTTATCAACAATGTAATGCATACATATGCAGTAAATTACCATATCATTTATCATAGGAATACAAAAATGATCTACAAATTAAAAATGGATAAACTTCACATAAAAAGTAGATTTCCATCAGTGAAAAAAAGTGCTAAAGGAGTCAATAAATTCTAGTACGAGAATACAGCCAATTTATGGATACAACAACGTAGGTAACCATAAATATGAGGAATATTAAGAGTTTTACTAAAAAAAATACATTCAAACAGTAAGGGGTAATACTTGAAAGGTATTGTGTAGTATGACCAGTAAATATCTAAATACGTAATAGGAGTAAATAATAGTAGATACTGCCACTCACTGTGTAAGCTCATATTGTCAATTTTCAGTTTTAAATTTGTATTGGTATCATTTCGCAATAATATAATTTTTTTATTGTTATCAAGTCATTTACAGTGGACTTATTCATTAAATAATAAGCTTACCTAATAAAGCAAACATAGAGCTGTTATAGAAAGAAAAAACGAAAATAAACCGAAGGCGAAGAGTTACTAATTAAAACATATATCCCTAAGTCTTTCGCACAGTTTACCTGATGATTACGACAATTTTCCCAAACTTTGCGTAATATTGCATAAGATCGTTCTCTGGAAGCGAATGATGTGAAGAAAAATCGTTCATGATTTTTAGAATATAAAATTTGGATTGCATTTGGTATAACACGAGCGGTTTTCTCTTTGGTAATTGCAACGATCTCATTGACGGCCAAAAATATCTAAAATTATGATGAGCAATAAATATAAATGTGAAAGCAAGAGATATTCACTTCTTAAGGGAGTATTGTCCAAAGATCATAATAGTATATTTAAGTATGAATAACAGATTAACTGTTTGTAAGATCCATGACGCAAACCACCGTACAAAATATTTACCGCACTAAACAGAGATTTACAAGTCAATTCTATGGAGACATTTTATTCAGGTGACGGTTATGTCTTTCACTTTTTAGGATTACTTATTAGGCCAGAGCTTGTACAAAATGAAATGAATCAGATAAACGAGTTAGTTGTATGATGTAAAACTGTAATCTTTGATATCCAAGAAATTTGATTATATACGTATGATTAGTTAATCAGTCTATATGCCATAATCTGATTAACAATGTACCATTACTAATGCTCAACACTTAAATACAGGAACGAATTAATTTACACTTATACATAATCATTACTCACAGTATAACAATTCAGCATGTTACATTATAGACTAGTCATTAAATATGCATAAATTAACGTAACATCCAAACGTCGACAATAACGTTTATTGAACTTCTACTTTGCATATATATTAAATATTTGTTTACTGTTCACACTCAACCCCATTACTTTTTCTCTAATGAAAGCACCATTCCGAGAACAGGTAATATTGATTGTTTTCGAATAAATCAATATTCATTTGAAAAATCAATTAACTGACAAGATTCAATGCCATATATAGAGTGATCATACTATTACTAATAGTAATCATAAAAAACCATAGAAAACCTCAATAAACCAGTAGAAAATATCAAGTATATACATATATATAAACACTGAACAGTCAAAAAAAGCCCAGTGGAGATCAGATGACCAGAAATCAATGTATATAATTAACCTCAATCAATAAATGGAGTGCATTTAGAATTGTGTTTCTTGTGAAAAACAATAAATAATATATTAACCTAAGTAGTTTACAAGCATTACAATTACAACAATTGTTCTCTAAATGGTGTTTTCCGCAAAAAAGAGAATAGATAATTGTGTTAAATGGACTAAATGTGAACGACCAGCAGTTCGGTGAAGTAAACAGGAACTATAAACTCAAATAACTCTACCTGCAGCTCTTCTAAGGTTACTGCCGATCTCAAGACTGGGTAAAAGAAGAGGGTTGTACATGGGAGAAGCGACCTCATCCCGTAGGAAAACACCTTTCTAAAAAAAAACACTGACCGAAACAAACAAATTAAACTATTTGAACTCTACCTTTTGAGTTCAAGGATCATCATTTAGAAGAGTTATGACGCCTTATGGTGAAAGCCGAGATTCTTCGGAAGCAACGAGGCCGATGTCCTTTTCTAACAGATAGAGTAACAATTAATATAGGTACACGGAATACCCGGACAATGTTAGATATGAGGATGACCAATCAAATATTTGCGGAAATGAGAAGATACAACTTGGTGGTGCTCAGAATAAGCAAAAAACATTGGACCCAAGTTGGACAGCAAAGGCTAGATTCGCTTAGTGTGCCGTTGTACTTCAGTCACGAAGGAAATGTTCTGCACAACAACCTGGTGATTAGTAAGATGAGACTAAAGAAGTGGAAAAGCAGCACTACAAAGGTTCAATACAGCCCTTGACAAACTCAACGGATTGAAGATAACTCTCAACAACTGGTTCTAAACCTTACAAGGTCTACTGAAAGAAAAGAAAATTACTATGGAGAACAATTGGAAAGGTATCAAAGAAGAATTAACTTCAACGTGTCAGGAGGTTCTGGACCGCAAAAGGCATCAACATAAGAGATGGATTTCTATCGAAAGGAAGAACAAAGGGACAGCAATTAACAGCAGCCGAACAAGAACAGAGGAAGTCAAGGCACAAGCTGAATACACAGAAGCGAACAAGCAAGTGAAGAAGAGCACTAGAGCTGACAAGCAGGAATACGAGGAAGACCTAGCAACAACAGCGGAAAAAGCTGCAAGAAAAGAGAATAAGAAACAACTGTATGATACAACGAAGAAACTGGCAAGGAGATATAGTAAAACAAAGAAACCGGTTAACGATAAAGGCAAGACAATCACTGAGATTGAAGAACAGAGGAACGGGTGGGTAGAATACATTGAGGGACTCTTGAATAAGTCGCCACAGTGAACTCACTGGACATCGAAGCAGCACACACAAACTTCCCTAGAGATGGCACACCACCAAGGATCAAAGAAATTAGGATAGCTATTAGACAAATCAAGAGTGGGAAGGCAACAGAGCCAGAAAATATACCAGCTGAAGCACTGAAGTCAGAAAAGTAACTGCAAACTTGCTCCACGTTCTATTCATGAAAATGTGGAAGTAAAAACTATTGCCGATAGACTGGAAAAAAGATACCTCATCAAGATACCAAAGAAAGGAGATCTAAACAGACGTAAGAGCTATAGAAGAATCACACTATCGCCAGTACCAAGAAACGATGATTAAACATATGAAGTTGGCAAATATGTCATTTACCTAAATAGATGAAAGTTTACAGCCTCATCACTAGACGTATCATTTTTATCTAGTGACCTTCAAATGATCACAATATTACCAACTCAGTGGTCTCGCTAAACTTGAATGACACAAATAGTCAAATGCTTTGTAAAAAGTTCTTTCTTATTATGGATTATATTTGGACAAGAAAATACGTGTGAACTCTTTGATACGTTAAACGAACTTGTTCAACATTCACATTAAATTAACTCAAAGTTAATTATTAAGACTTCTATTCAGTATGAGTAGTTTGTATGATAAAAAACGCTAACGGCATATATTCTTTGCAAAAATATATGGCAGATATATCTCTAATTACTCCCCACTTGTAACAATATACTTAATCCACATTCCATTGTTTAAAACATTCGTGGACATCCTCAGAAGTTAGGCTTTTAAGAAGCTCCGTTGTTTCATTTTTTTTTCGGAACACAAAATATTGTGCACAGACGATTTATCTAAATTTCAGTTTATCAGGAATCATTCAGACAATGTGCAAACGGTAGAAAATGCAAATATTTGATGTTTTTTTAAACCAAGAAAGGAGTCCGAAGTCGTTATAACCTTGGATCATTCTATCAATCTCCACAATCATCGGCGAAAAAGTCCAATTCACCTGAAAAGAGTTATCCTCTTCATAACGACTTTAATGTTTCCTGGGTTTTTCTCAAGTTCCAATGAAAATAGAAGCAGTTCAGTTTGTGTATTTATTGAACAGAGCATATATGAATTGTCTTTATAAATATTCTAATTAATCCGCTCAATCAAAGATATACTACACTTGAAATGATACAATAAATTTATACTGTCTTAAACGTTTTTTTCCTAATAACATCAGTTCTGTTTTAAAGTCTTAACTGAAATAAATAAAAACTCATGCATCAGTAGTAGTACATAAATGAAAAATAGAATTACTTTCTGTTCGTATAGAATTTTTGAGTAAAAGCACACCCATGTTTCAGTAATGTACATTCGACCTTGCAGTAATAGACCATTATTATTCTTAGATAAAGCACATGAATAATCTATTGAAAATTTTTTGAGAAACAATGAAAGAAAAACTATGTTATACCGTAATGAATTAAATTACAATAGCTTGCTTTGAATAAAAAGATTCAAAGAAAGAAATGTATATGAATATGATAGAATTATGTACACACATATATATGAGATCATACCACTCTTATCAATTTTATCTATGAATATATGTATGCTTGTAAATTTTTGTGAATAACTACTGAAATGTAGTCAGATACAATTTAGAACGAAAAAGATAATAATGGTTGATGTTGTAACTGAATAGTGGCTATTTATTTTAACTGAGGTCGAAATTGCTGATATGACTAGGTGGAAAGAAGAAGGCAAAACTGAAGACGAAAAGTTGATTATGTACTAACGGTAAATCCACAAACGATCAACCACCACTTATTAGCAACTATATCGATATGAGATTAAGTTGCATTTAATTCAATTATCTGAACAAAGTCAATCACGTAGAACTGAGTAGTAATTGGCATAAATCAATCAATAACCTAGTGGATATATGTAACCTAAAATATAAATAGACTTAACTGACTCAACAAACCACTAATTAGTTATATATTTGCCCCTTTTAACAGTTTTTATAATTAGTTGAACATGAAGTTAGTTTACATCGCCAAATAGCATTAAGCAGGGAAGAAATTGAAATCTAAAAAGAACTGAATGTCTCTTCATCGTAATTTAGGACATTTATAAGTCTACATTCATAAATTCATTGGTCAATTAGTCTAATAACCCAACCATCATCCATGAATACCAAACGTGATATATATGTCTTATTTGGTACATGGTTTTCCAATCATGGCTTGATAGTAGATTTTGAAGCCAGTAACTTTATTAATTTGGAAATTCGAACCTCTAATTTTTAACTTAATGTTTTATAAAGATACTATGCTCACCGTAGAGCATAAAAGTATTCATTTCGATTTTATGTGATAGCGTAAGGGCATTTCCGAGATTTCTTACACAAAAACAAAACAGTTAACTTAGTGCCACCTGATTTTTAATGATTGACCAGCTAGTACCACCAGTGGATGATAAAACCACCTTTGAGCATTCTGCGCTAATTCCTTATCGTAGCAATGCAAACCTATTGTCGACAAATCACATAAGCTCGTATATTTTTCTTTTTCTTTTTTTAATATTTTTACTACATGGTTTCTCCATCTCTTAGTAAAATTTGAGAACTATACAGTAAATACTTCATTTGGACAGTGCCCATCGATTGTCCCAGACCCTACTGTCTCTTCATTCCCATACTAATCACTCTTTGACCTCTTTGCCTTCTCTCCGAACTTCTCAAACTTCTACCGCCAGGCATTCCACATTCGATTGGTGATACATACTACTTATACCTGTTGACATCAGTAGCACACATCACACTTGGAGTAATGAGCTATTTTACTTAAATCCTTACAGTTTTATTAATTTATCAATATATCTCAAAAAGACTTTTCCCAATTAAAATAAGCAAGTGGGATACTGCATCACAAGATATTCTGTAAAGTGCTCAAAGATTTAAGGAAATCGGTCTTTATGTTTCCAGAATCTGAATACAATAAAAGAATATCAATATGTTTCGGTAAGTGGATTACAAATGAAACATATTGAAACAGTATTACTAACTCTATAAACTTTCGCAAATAATATACTGTTCGCAGTGTTGCATAGCAGTATTCAATTAACAGCTGAAACCCAATTTTCATATTACTAATTCTATCTACTGACCTTTGATTTTAGAGTAATATGATGTTTATAAGGTATCTGGTAAAAATTGTAATGATTTATTTCCAATAATAACGTTTTTATTTAAATTCAGCTACAGTTCAGTAATGTATACATATCTCTCTTATAGCAGGTCTTATCAAATAAGTTCATTATCAAAAATGTTTATTGTCTTAAATCAACTTATTTCCCAATGATGTATGCAGAGTATACTTAATAATTTGGAACAACGATCAGGTGTTCCAATATGGTATCATTTAGTATCAAAACATTTTTTTTCTAGAACGAAAAATAACTCCAGTCCTAAGACGTTGTAAAATTTGCTCTCGATTTCAGATTTTACTTCAATGTATAAAACCAAAGTTAGGCGGATTTTCAACTTTTAATTTACGTAGAATCTTGGATTTCAAAACCTAACTATTTTATAATGAGAGGGAATTTTCACGCACTTAGAACAATGAATAGAAACTTGCACAATTAAGTCAATCCAGTTGACGGTCAGTTCGTGATTATAACTATCTTTGAAATTCCCAGAAAAGTTAGTAATTAAACTAATAAACTTTGAAAGGCATTTCGCCTATGAATAAAATTATGTTTCTCAATGGAAAATGTTAAATATTATCAGTTAAGTTGAAAGGATGAAATTATTAATTATTACTTGTTCTGCTGAGCAAACATGATTATTGTAGTACACACATTTCGATTATTATTATTACTGTAATAAAAATTTTCAAAACCATATAAATCTAAAAGTGACCTGGCTAGATATAAGAAAAATTGACAATCGTATCCATCAATATAGCCCATTTACCTATTACAGATTTCATCCTTCCGGGTTAATTAGTAAAATTAAGTTGTTCAAACTAGAAAAGGAATGCGTTTTGAACTTATCGATTAGTGTAGGTAGTATTATCAAGTTGTAACTATCGAAGAAACGGAACATAATATCAAAAATAGTGACGTAACTTTCGATAATGCGATGAGAAGACGAAGGTTATCAGAATTATGTGATATATTTGCGCAATACATTTCGAACAAACTGATCACACATATACTTGTTGCTCGTTTTGTTTATGGGATATGTTGAAAATCTAGCTGAAGACTCAATTCAAAAGATGTGTTTGTATAAACGGCAAGTTGATGACATCATTATCATAGGGGGTAAACGTGAGGATTTGAACCGTCTGTTAAAAGAACTTAACACAAGTCAAAAAGATATTTCTCTTACATGTGAAAAAAAGAACAACCAAATTTCTTTTTTAGACATACTGATAAGTAGAAGAGATGATGGTTCCATCCAATGTTCTATATACAGAAAGCCAACATGAACAGGGGAATATCTTAATTTCCATAGTCACTGCCCAATTCATTACAAACGTGGATTAATAAAGGGCTTATTCAATCGTATTTGTACTAGTGATCCTATTGAAGTAGAGACAACTCTCTTGACTGATACGTTAATGAATAATGGTTATTGTTTGAAGTTCATAAACCGCTGGGACGGTTGCAATACGATTGGACCTATGACGCTTCTGGCACCTGAAAAGCGAGTTTACATTATTTTGCCAGTTAGAGGCGACTCAAATAGTCTCATGTTGAAACGGAGACTTAAATCAGCCATTAACAGGACATTTTATGCAGCCCGACTTGTCATTAGTGAAAAGACGAGGTCTATGTTTCACCAAAAGCCCAAACGGCACGTAAGCAATTGCGTCAATCAATTTACATGTATCCGCGGAAACACGTATATAAGGAGGAGCAGTCGTGACCTGCAAGTAAGGGTGGGTGAACACATATTAAAATGGCTACAGAAACAAATGAATTCCAATGGTCAAATAAGATCACAGGATAGACAGACGAAATATTTATTTGCTCTGAAGAAGTAACTTACAACACGAAATCGCGAAGCGTCAGATACTTAGTTTTCTACTCATTGGAATACCACAGTTATATCCTGTATTTTATTTTTACAAATTGATGGATGAAAGTCAAGGATTTTCAAACTAATAGACCTCATCACTAACAAAAGAGCAAAGAACATTAGCTGAGAGTTACGCATCTTTTTTCATTTTAACGTTCTTCTACATAGGAGAGTGAATTTACAGCATATTTTTTAATGATATTATTACTCAATCATATACTAGCTTAAACTGTTTACAATCACTCACTCAAATAGTGGATCTTTGCGATGATAATTAGCAATTATATGTGCAAGTGTTATACCTTGAAACTGAGGTTCAGTACGAGACCACGGCAATTGTTAATTACAAAAGGATTGAACAAATCCTAATCTAAACGGATTCTGCGGTGAACTTGATAGAATGGCAGCTAATACACAACAGCGCTTCAAGGTGAATAAGCCACACGATTATATGAGATAGAACAGAATACAAATATTGAAATGAAACAACTCTGTTCAAATGATAACACCTAATAAACCTTGGATACATGATAGAATTAGCAAACTAAAGATTAAAACATACAATCATATAACAGCAAAGGTTATTGTAGAAATATGAGCTACAGGTAATCCTTTACAAAAAGAATTAAGAGTTAGTAACAAAAAACTAGATAACATGATGTCTTCTTAGAAGAATGACAATGACAAAGGATATTATAGCGTAACACTACCATGCTCAGCATATTACAGTATATTAAAATAATGATCATAGAAACATTTCCTAACTCTTTGTAAAATGTCAATAGAAATAGATGAAAAACGGTACAAATGTTTACAAACTGATGAATCTAATATTTGGAAAAAATGATGACTTAAATTATCTAGTAACAAACGTTGATACACCTAAATAAAAGATTCATCATAAGACTTTCAATATTATTTACAATAAATGAAACTAACGTGACGAAAATAAAAATGAATGCTATTTGATATAAAAATAGGAATTATTGATTCTTTTCTTATAAACCTTTTAATTTTAACCGCTTTATATTAATAATTTAAATAACAGTGAATATAACCGATATCATTATTTTCATTACAATACATGATAGCAGAGTTTAAAATAATTAATAATCAATAAATTAATATGCAACTCATCACCAAGTATATATTCATGTACTCATCAAGGCTGGTGATACTACACGGATACCTAAACCACGGTAGATGGAGCTGGGCTTGGATCTACAACCTAATGGATGGAAACCGAATGTCTTAGGCACTATGTCATCGCCCAACTAATATGACACAAAATAAATTCATTATTTTTAAAAGAGTATACACTGATTTCATATAAAGAATTTCAGTTAGTCATATCAACAAATTTCAATATAATAATGAGTTACAATAACCTACCTACAAGTAGTCGTTCAGTATCAACAGGAGTATCACGAAAAATACGTCGAAACTGTTCCAATTTCGTTCGGTAGGATGGAGTTAATGACTAATTTGTATAAATATTTATCATAAGGAATTAAAAAAATGGAAATTGTCGTTAGGTACATTCTTTCCAGTAAATGAAAAAACAAATAATTTGCAAAAACGAATGATTACTTAACTGCTTTTTGTTATACTATATGGTAAAACTTAGACAATTTCTATATACTTCAGATAATTAATGCATACTAATAAAATATTCTTTAGGTGAATGAGATCACACAAAAAACATATTTGAAAATAAAGCGGAAAACTATCTATACACAACTACAGTGATGCGCAATGATCAGCAAATAAGTATGTAGATTAAAGTTATTACTGGGAAACACTAGCGACAATAAAGCTTGCATCAAAGAGTCAATTAACTTCACTTGGAGTTATATCGAGGAAAATAGATACGTTAATTATTATTAACTATTCAAAGAATGCCACCCATTTTGAATATACTGGACTTCACAATTCGCTACCAATTGAAATATAACATACAAAACGTATTAAATAAACATTATATGGAATTAAATTTTGATGTAGATAATAATTAATCAGATAAACTAGTTGACTATATATCAGTGAAACACAATTAATTCATGGTGGGTAAAAACTAAAAGGATTGTTGTTGTTGTTGTTGTATACACAAAACAATAAAAGATAACTGAAAAATATCTCACAAGAAAGTGATTATTACTGTTCTGTAAAACACCCACTATACTGACACTGAACAGATTACTCAATGCAGATAGTGAGTCGACATCATTTTGTGAATTATAGCGACTACAGGTAATCCAGCCTTGAAATTTTGAACAGGTGAAAAAAGCTATGAAAATATTAATCAAACTGATAAAATAGAGGTAAAATATAAAACAATTAGTCCCTTTGATAAATTTCGATAATGCAATGAGAAGACGAAGATTATCAGAACTATGTGATATATTAGCGCAATACATTTCGAACAATCTGACAGAAATATTTCACATAAGTACTTTGCCATGTAACATTTCCCACCAAAATATATTTAGTGTAAGGATGAACTTAAAATAATCGAGTTGGATTTTTAGCTAGTTTTTAGTCAGTCAGAAAACAACCTTTGTAGATGAATAATCTATGATAAGAAAAACAATAATACTACAAAGTATAGACAGCTTTTACGTAATTATTCAGTCTATTGAAGTCTTTGACTGTGTTTGTAAATCGAAAAATAAACTCTTTCTTACGGATTACAGATAATTTGTTTTCCTAAATTTTTGTAAGGACCCAAAAAGATTTCTAAGAATCCCTATATTATCCTTGATTAGGATCAGGAGTAGAGGTTGAGAGTTATGATTTTCATTGCGGAGTGACATCAGCTATAATGCAAAATACTCTGTAGCCAAATGAATGAATGTATTTTGCTCAAAAACCCATGAATTACTATCTGATTAGTCCATCTAGAAAATGTAATGCCACCAGTTTAGGGTTTGTTTCAAGATTAAGGGTTATTACTTAAGGATAGTATCGACTTGTCTGTTATATACAGTCTGTAAGTACATAATTGCAAATTTGATACGCTTTATAGAATTCCTTTTACTTTATGGTGGCAAAAGGAATTTTTTGCCATCGTTTTAAACATTTTGAACAGTTTATATAGGTATTTCTACTGCTTTTTATGGGTGCGAAAACTTAAGTCATATTCTCGATTTCGACTACCTTGTCCTTATAATATTCTTTTACTATAAATGTGGGAAAGAAATGAATTATTCTCAAGAATTGAGAGCTAAATAATAACCAACAGAGTTCTCTAATTATTAGAGCTAATCGACATCTTCCAATCATTAGCAGTTATACGTAAGAATAATATGCTGCACTGTAGGTTAACTACACTAAGTATATGAAATACGCACATTTACCATAACAATAACAAAAAATACTCTTATTAATATGGTTAAAAGGGGATAGAATATGAATGAAATTATTGAACGAATCTTGGTCTCTGTAGGATGACGAATTGATTTTTTTTCAAATCAACTAGTGTCAGAATAAAATGTCAGCAAGTTGAATTGCAGCTGCGGACAACGATATATATCACATACTATTCAGACACGTGTGCAGATTTGTTTATTTCACTACAACAGACTACTTAGCGCCGATTAGTGCACTTAGCTTGCAGTCACTTTAGTGATATTACCTAAACTAAAATAGATCGAGTGAGGTTCTAACCCTGCTGCCCAGTAACTGAAAGCCGAATTTTTCAACTACTAAACTCCTACTGTACGCTACAGATTAAACCGATCAGTGATTCTCTAAACTTTTATAGCATTCCATACCTTTCATTTATTACAAAGATATTTATGCACATAGGATACTAGACGAGTACACACCCACAAACAAACAAGTGGATCAAATAAACATCATAGAAGTATCAGTAACTGTAATACATACACAATAATAGACATGTGAACATGTTACATATATAAACAAGATTAGAAATAAAAATAAAATAAAACATTAGAAAGACGATAATTACTATCACTTTTCATACTGATACAGCATATCCGACTTACACACAGATAGTTGGTAAAATGAAACCAACAAAATATACTAAAATATGTGAGAAAAAGTAAACGATTCTTTTTCTTCGGTCTTTTTTTGTTTGAGTAAATTACTACTCACGGATTATCAGGTCGAATTCTCAATTAGTTATCATATTGAAATCTACAGTGAGATAACTATATATGATAAGTATAGTGATAATGACAATAATAATAATCTCTATTGGATTTTGGAACGAATAGAATTATACTGAAAAGATTTTGTTGAAAATGTTATGAAACTAAACAAGACTTAATATGTTTCTTATAAATTCGAACAGAAAGCTTTATTTTATTTTTTATGCGTGTACACACATATTTGTTATAATGATCTAATACTTGAGATAATATTCAAGTTATTTCTAAAGTCTAATTAAAATGTTAAATATATAAAGAGAACTTTATACTTGGATTGTTGAACTTTTAATGATATCCTAGTGTTTCTTAATTCGAATAATTATGATAAATAAACCAGAGTTTAGTACGCTGAAAACATGAATGTAAATGAGACAAAAAAAGTAATCATAATCGTTTCAGAGTATTGTGGTGGTCTGTTTTTAGTGCAAATATGAAAACCATGACCGTGTTTTTAGTAGCAACTCAATTTGACTGAGTTCCATTGAATGGCTGTGCCGACAAAGAAACAGTCAACGCCAATCACATTTGAAAATCGTTGTCATCTCGTAAATCGATTAAAGCTGTTATACATATTATTGAATCTAGAATCCACTAGCCAATTAGTTAAGTATTCCCTCGCCCTAGACCTGAGGACTCTTGGTCGTGAGTGTGCACCTCTGACGAGTTTCGCACCAGAACGAAACCGTTATCGAAAATGAGCATCACAAAATTTGATACATAAGCTGAGTAACAGGAAAAAAATATAATCCTTCTTTTATATAGTAGAATATGCAGTTAATTAGACAAATTCCGAAATTTTATACTGTGGCACGACCCTCTAAGATCATTTTATTTAGTATAAATGACAGATCTAATGTGTAGATAACTACCAAAACGATCATCATGATACTTGGGATTGAATATTCCATACATACATGTACATAAAAACAAAGGGCAGGATTAGATAATGACAAACTAAAAGAATCATCACGAAAACAAGGAAACATACGACTATAATAGAGAAACTATTAGATTTAAAGAGCAAAAGCTAGATTACGAATTAAACTATGCAACGGAAATCAATATATTTATGTAAACAAATGAAAACTAGTTTTGTACAGATGAAAATTACAGGGTGTCTGAATAACTCTACAATAATTGTAGTGTCGAATTGCCGAAAAAAACGAAAAAATCATACTTCTTGGTCTGAGGGATATAAAGTTGTACACTATTTAACATTCCAGACGGAAACAGGTAGCTGAAGTGAAATTAGAATGAACAAATTAACATTTGAAAATTATTTAAAGAGTTTTAGTTATTACCTCAGTAAAAAAATATTGTAAATGCAACCCAAAAAAACATACAGATCACACAGGAAATTTGCCTGTTGAATTTGTGGAAATGATTCTGACACAAAAGTTCAAAGGCAACGCAACACTGAAAATCCTAAGTTCATTGGTAGATGTGCATTGCATCGGAATACCATATCAATATGAAACAGCCATCCAGTACTTTCTGATTTTCAAAATTTCAATTGTCGTACAGCAACCGAAACTTTAATATGTGAGTCAATAAGATACCGACTAATACGAACTGAACCATCGATGGAAGATGAGTTTATGCTATGAGGACAAGCTGTACTTGGTCCTTGAATTGTTATTATTATGAATGGCGTAATAGGAATGAGTATAAGAGCTACCTGGAAGAACTAAGTTTGAGCGTAGAATAAGTTACTACAATCGAAGATCCCAGTGGCAGTAGCAAATATTTAGAAGAGAACCTCGAATATTAAAGTAGAGAAAGGTTTCATGAGAGCAGCAGTTGACCACAGATCAAATGGTTCGTTTTAAGTGCTCTAATAGATTGGAACAGAGATGAAATGTTTAATATTGTCTTTTTTACTTACTTTGTTCAGTATTGCACAATAATAACAAAAATGAATGTATATTCTGAATTTAATGATGAACACATAAACTGAATAATTCTAGTTGCTAACTATACAATTCAACATAGTACTTTCAACTCAAAATCTTTTAATACTATTCATTCAAATAATTTATTAGTTGAATTTGAAAGATTTGTTCATTTTTAGAAAATACTATTTATTAAAAATAATATTATGTAGACGTGTCATTATCTCATTAGAATTTACTAAACAATAACTTATTACATCATAATCATATAAATAACACCGTGTTTTTATTAATAAGAGATCACATAATAAAATACACATAAGATCCCGGACTAAACACATAATTCCGATTATTTACCAATGATTAAATTAAAACATATGTATATTTAAAAAAGAAGGAAAAATAGTTGTCAATATTTTTGGTTTTATAGAGTGTTAATGAATTAATTATTTATTGTCCATAGGGATTGATCGGTGATCATAATAATAGGAACAGATTATGACCCTTACACTGTTAACAGTAATGATAACAATCAAAGGGTTTTTTATCATACTTTATACTTTGATTTAGATAATCGATCTATTAGTTTATATTGATGATCTAATTTTAAAAAAATGGTTAGTTTAATTAATAAATAGAAATTCTATTTGTTCACTATGCCATAAAGTTTTATAAATACTGAACAGATAGAAATATATTCTTTAAACAAAAAAAATTTACACAATGATTGTGTTATAATGCTTGATTTTCCTCGTCTACACGAATGGGACGCTAATATGCCTTAGGTGAATATCTACACACGATACTCTCCAAGTGTCTATTCTATAGAACATCAACAGAACTCAGATCAAGAACACATGACTAGCCAGATTAGAAAGTAAGTATATTCCCACAGCAAAAACTGACAACAATTACAATAGTAATAAGGCTAGGGAAGTGTATAACTCATCTAATATCTGTCAGATCAGTCTAACTAAGTAAACAATCAATTATTATCATCCTCGCACATACATCAGATTATTAGATAGTATGTCAACTAAAAAATCACTATAAGGTGAACGCTGATTATGTTGTTAAAAGAATAGTATTTTAGCAGTGTAGAATTATTTGAACAGTATGGTTTAATTGGGAAGCCAGGATCTGAGGTCTTCTGAGAAGCCTAAGAATTATGAATACAATCTTAAGTACACAATGAGACCGTCCAAAAACAAATAACATTAATATAAACATTGTTTTCAAGCATTTCCAACTCACTACAATAAAAAATAAACTTACGCCTGTTACACCTCGTGGAGAAGCATAGGCCACTCACCCACACTCTCCATCCAACTCTGCCTAGGAAATCCTTTCCAGTTGTTATTCATCCTTTTTACATCTGCTTCTATTTCCCGACTTAATGTGTTCTTTGACCTTCTTCTTTTCCGCTTCCCTTCAGGATTCCAAGTCGGCTTGGTGATTTCCGTAATATATGTCTTACACATTTCCATCGTCTTTTTCTAATTTTCTCTTCATCTGGAAGCTGGTTTGTTCTCTCCCATTGTTTATATTTCGATACAGCCATTATCTCACGTCATTAAGAATAAATGGATCATGGCTAGCATTAGAAATCAAGATGTGTCTTTTGACCTGTTTGGGACTTGTCAGTTGGATGTACCTGCACACCATTGCTAATATTCACACTAGGACTCGCACTCCATACCTTTTGATTTATACACCAAACCCATAAACCAGTGAGCTACCGAATCTAGATAGCCAATAACGTTTTAAACAGATGTAATTTCCGCATTATTATTATCAGAAAGAATTTGAGTTATCCCGTTGCTAGTACTTGGGATTGGATCGAAATTCACTCTCCAATATTAACAAAGGGATACCTTAAACTATTATTATGATATAAACATCATACCATTGAATACGAGTGGATTTTTTGGAACCAGTAATTCTTTGAAACGAGAGACACTGAGTTAGAGTCCATGAGCTAACATCAACACAGGGATACAGGTACAACTGGCTGACCAGTCTCAAATAGAATGAAACGCGTATCATAGTTTTCTGTAATAGCCACAACCCATATATACTAGATTATGAGTAATATGATTAATAAATACGATAATTCACTATATTAATATACACGTACTTGACAAAGCATATGCACATGTATATATAAACACAAATCTTATGACTGTTACAAATAGCGTCAATAAGGATAAAATTTAATGTCATTATTCAAAAATAACATAAATCAAAACTGACACAGTTGTAATAACTTATAAACAAATATTAACTTGTTTACACATTGTAGATTATTTGAAAAATATAATTATGGATTGATGACATAAGATGTAAAACAAAACAAACTAGTGTTACATGTTGTAATATATACTCGTTAAAAAACTTAAATTTCATGGAATGGATTTCATCAAAGACTGAAATCAGGAATAATTGTAAAACATGCAATACAGTTGATTTTTTTTTAATTTCTACTATAAGCGTACATCACCAATGCAGGAGTTTGACGTAGGACTCTTAGGTCTCACACAGCAAGCACGATATGTTTAAACTAATGTATTAAAAAATGGTATTCAACAATTCCATTTGCGGTCAGTTCATGAGACAGTGTAAAGACCATACTATACCATCAATGGAGAGCTTCACAATTTCTTGTGAATGCACTATTAAGTATCTCAAATTAAGACAGAAACGTTCTACAAGTGAAGTGATGGGGACTGGTAGGTCAAGTCGACAATTTTGTTGAAATCGTGTTGCTGAGAACCAATCAGAAACTAGATAAATTTGTTTCCATAGAGAAAAAACAAGTTTAACGCATACTATACTCCATTAAATGTCTATAAAAAATGTTAAATATTTACTATCCATGCTATCTGAAAGAAAAAAGTGTTTATATGACAGATGTGATAAACACTATAATTGAGAAGACGCAACTTAAGTTGAAAAGAGAGTTGCAAAGCATTTCTAACTAACTACTACATCAGAGTTATTCATAATGTAGTGTCCTTGTAAATAGTACACAAACTATGAGGAAAAGTATTAAAAGAGGTTTAAAAATTGATTGTTGAACTACAATATCAGACACATTCACTAATGATAATAAGTCAATAAGTACGGTTTGCAAACTGTTCATCAAAGTGTAGAACGAGTACTTTATCGAGATAAGTCGATATTTACCCTTTAAAGTAGATATTAACAAACTCTAACAAATATATGGCTGATGTCATAGATACATTAGCTCATTGGAATTTGATATATGAAAAGAATTATAGAGATTCAATCAATTTCATTTCCATTGTTTTACTGCATTAAATAATAGTAATAATTATTATTATCATTATCAATACTAGGAAAATGTTATAAAAAATATTACCATTACTATTAGTAATACTATGAATATTAGTTTTCATTCCTGCTCATAATTGTAACTTTGAGAATAAAAGAACGAAGGAATAAGAAGAATGGGATAGAGGTGAAATAAATGAGGAAAAAATAACATTTATCCGATTGGAGGATCAGAGAAACAATGAGTTATATGGTACAAGAGTATTTTATCTAATTAATAACTGGAAAAAATGAAGATCTATGGATAAATAAGGATACTTTTCTATTTGTGATCTATCAGTTTTTTTACAACTAATAGTACAAATTATCATAAGCACACTACACAACAAATAAATATACGATGATTGTTTAGTTTAAGCAGCAATATACTATGATTAATGGCGGACAGAATACATTCATCAAACAGATAAGGTTGTCAAAAGATAAAATCGCTTACCAAAACTTTTGACGAATAAAACATTATAAATAAGGAATAAACTGTTGTTTATGACAAAAAAAATCACAAATCCATTCACTCTGTCCCTTAAAATATAAACAATATAACAATCGTCAATAATGGTAAACCGTGACATACTCCACTTTTTTATTGGATATATGCACTTTATTATTAGAAAGTGTTTATAGTGTATGGTTGATGGTCCGATTGAGAAGTCAATAAATCGAGAGAAAAGTGACAAACAGAAAATTAATCCAAGGTTGATAGACAGACACACACAGAAAATAAAGGCATATTACATGGTTTGTGTAAATCAAAAACAAAGAATGATAAAGAGAAATACTAACCGCATAACACAATTGAACTGTTATGATCCTGAGATGGAACTACTCAGTAGTCCGGACTTACAACCCTGCTACAGGAAATCTAACCCTGGATCTTCGTTCTCGCGCATGAATACGTAAAATCTAGACTGCTGGGGCAATGTTTAGTGGTTTACATGTCGAAATCCAATTAGTTCACGATATTGAATAAACATCTTCCACTCCCTACGGTAAATAAACACCTCACATCCGACATAACGGAACTCCACTGGTCACGGCTTCTCACCGGAACTCCAGGAATTAATGCAATCAATAAGCATTCTACAGTCTCCACAAAACCCTGTGCTGATAAACTATCATTCGAAATAAATATTGAATATTGTTCCCATTTTGTTTTTTAAAAAAAAGTAAAATCATGTCTATTTAACGTATATGGAAAACAGACAAATATCATTTTTTGAAAGTCCGATAAAATGTATTTATTAACATGATTAAATACGAGAATCGTGTACACAAACAAAAACACGTTGCTTCAAAACTAGTGCAAGAGTTAGTTTTCTTTCAAAGAAATATATATCAGAAAACCCATTAATAAACTTACATTACTGGACAGTATTCCTGGTAAGATTCTGATTAGCCCAACAACTACACACTTACCATCTAACATACGTATATATATATAAAAGAATGCTTTCCAACCAGGTTAATTATTTTCATAGTCAATATACATCGCTCAAAAATTAATTTATTATACTAGCAATGAATTTGTTAATACACCCTAGCTCAAAATCTCTAACAATGAAGCAAATATATTAACTCTCTACTTTCCTCTTGATCTTGAATACCGGCATCGCTTCATCCACACCTTTCCGCTCTCTTTTTTTGAACTATATTCCCAAAGTTTAGTTTTCTTTTATTGATCATTATTGCTGCGTTATTTTGATCATATTTCTCATTTTTATTTCGTAGTGCTTATGCGGTATAACGACTTCGCAGATTTGTATGAAGTTCTATGTTGTCTGTTTGTCATTGTGACACCATATATAGAGAAAAACTACGGCTAGAAAATAAATAATTAGCATATGTTTTGTAGAATTATTTGATTCTTCTTATGTTTTTTTGAAATCTATAACACCAAAACTAAGCAATATACAAAGGATTCAATCTCAAGATAAAAGTACGTACACACACATATAAACACACGCAAATGAAGGTAGATAGAATTTGTTTCCTCGAAAGCCAATTACCTGGTAATATGGATGTCTACGACGGAAAGATGAATTTATTTTATGCGGTGACGATGGTGAGTAGACACTTTTATTAGGAGTAGTAGGAATAGCCGTGGGTTTTGTCGTCATTGTACTATTATTGTTATTGCTACAGTTGTTCAATGTCCAAAACATGTCCTCTGTCCAATTTAGATCTCCATTCAATGGGACATGTATTAAACTTCGAGGATGACGTCGTTTAAATGGACTGGAACCTTTTGATGATGTCGAACGTAATGAAGAGTGATTTACTGGCATGGTCTAAAATATATACATTCATGTTAAACAGATGTGCATACCGACTTTTAATTCCAAAGTTGTAAACCACACAAAAGGTATCATGTGCTCATTTATTATTATCATCGTTATTAAAATTATAGAAATCCGTATAAGAAGTTTGCTATGCTTAAACAAGTAGTGAACGATTAATACGTTAGTAGGAGGTTAGATACCACTGAGAGGAGCCACTCTGAATCTCAGTACTGCTCAATGTGTTCATTCAACAAGATATATTTGCAGTCGCAAGACGAATATATATATTCTATTGATGGAAGCCTATATAAAGCTATGCTAGAGATTATTACTAATAATGATACATGAGTACACAAGTCTGAACTACAAACCGGTATCAACATATATTACTTGACAGCGAAATTCTGACGTATGATCTTTTTTATTATTGATATTGACATCAAAAGCGAAAGGAAATACAAATATCAAAATTTGAGTGTACCTAAAAAATCATTATTTTCATTGATGATATTATAATACCAGTAACTACCATACTCCACTTATTTTTTCCTTCAAAAGTGAATGATTTTTTTTTAACATTTCATGGTGACATTATTTTTTCAATTACATCAGTAAAGTAATTGGCAAACACTACACAAGTTTCTTGCCAAAAAGAACATTTCAATACTTTTAATAGTTATAGATTTTAATTTTTCCTTTGATACATTAAAATATTTATAATTCTTAAACTATTTCCATAAAATACTCCAAAATAAAATTAGGAAATAATTTCTGGTGTATACGCGTAAGCAATATAAGAAGGATGACTATAACATGTATAAATATATAGTGTCAACCTTCAAAAATCATCGGGTTAATATATGGTAGAAAGCAAACAAAATGTAGATTCGACCTCTGGATATACAACGTTCAGAAGTTTTATATTAGTCGAAACAGTTGTCCAGTGCTTCCTTGTTTTTAATGTATGTCTGGCTAAACTCAACCCGTGATTCAAATATGAGCTGTTTGAAATTTGTTATTTTAAAAACTGTTCAGATTTGTAGGTCTCCATGAATTCCGTTTTTAACCACTTGGATTCAAACTTATATTTAGTTTGAGTAAACTAATAGTAGTAGTATCAAATAGCCTCCACACAATATGGTGCAAAGACTAGAACTCCAATCTATCAAGTCGTAATTGCACATGTATATCACACGAGAATTAGATGACAATATCCTATATTGAACGAAATCAATGAGTAATAAAATGAAATGATCAAACTAAGCCTTAAACATTGGCACTTACAAATAAATGTTTGGAGGTTGAAAGCAAAAAAGAGACAGCTAAACATAGATGTGGTATAAGTCGATGCCTGCTAATTTGAAACGTGTAAGTAAACGTAAACTATTTGGTCGAGGTTCGTGTCTTAATTTGGATCAATGGTTGAAGTGGCATAGTTTAAAATCAGTCCCGATTGATCAAATGCATCTGTCCTGTGTCTTACCCTAAATCTTGAACTTCAGCATCGTGTTATCATTTGTGTTCTGTTAATCGATTCCTTATTTTTAAAAACCACTAAATATTTCTAGAACCCTAAGATGGCAGTCTATATTTCCAAATACTTCAAATAAGCTCCATGGTTAAGTTATATAATGTTCGGTTAACAATGAAACCTTTACAGTTTAAGTTATATTAGAACCATCAAAGTACTGAAGTGGTGAGTGCTCAGTTGTCCGAGACACATCAATCATTTCGAAGAAAAACGATTTGTAATACCATGGATAGATTTACACTATTTACCGACTAATCCAAGTATAATGTAGAAAATAATTTGAAAATATATATAATTGAATAAAAAACTTTTGCTTAACTTTCATTCCATAATCACTGAACAAGTAGACAAAAATAAAAAAATTGCAGGTGGTTAGAAATAGTTGACAGGAAAGCCTGGACCTAGGTTTATGTTACTTTGCACTTATCAGCAATGTGTACCTGGAATCTTAAAAAGATTGGTTCACCTTATGGAATTTAAAGAATTAGTTGTCATGTCTTACCATAATTTACAACAGAGACATAAGAAATATAAGTGAACGAAACTATATTTTCTTCAAAAAAGGTAACCATGATTACTGTCAGTTGTGAAAAACTAAAACTAAGAATGATATCGGCAAACAAAACAGTATAGAATAATACTTTTATATTCACATTGATAATTTTATTAGATTGAGTAGACATACAGACCAATTCTAATATATGATTACTTTAATCGTATAAATGATCTTGTGTAACCCTTCATCCATTGTCTAAGATGGGTAACTATCTCACACCCGACACGGATTGCACTCCACAGGTCACGGCTTGTCACTAGAACTCTAAGAAATTCATTATGAAGCTAATCACTAGTGAGCACATGATTATAATCAGAATGGGAATTTTGTGGAGATTGTAGTAATTAATTATTAACAAACCTGTCCCCTAACCTTTTTATTTTTATTTTATATTATTTTATTGTCTACTGATATCCATTTTTTACATAATCTTAACGATGTTAATATATTTGTTTATTTTATCATGTTGAGGGATTATTTAATCACTTATTAATTTCATTATATTTACGTAAACTCTTTTATCATGATTATTATTACTGGTAACTATAACATCTATTCTACTCTGCATTATTACTTCTCAACATAAATACACATAGATCTCAGATAAGTTTATTCATGTACTTTGTATCTCTATGCTTATGATTATTATGATTTCGAATATGTTTCGAACATTTATCTAAAGTTCACAGATTAAAGTATGTTAACATATATATAAATAATGTTGACTGTAGGTAGTATGCAACTAATGAGAAACGATGAACATAAAATAACAAGTTTATTTTATTCTGCAAATTTTATTGTTTTTACTCTGTTTTCAATTTATCAATAGATTTGGTTATATAAAATAAAATAATAATTGAGAAATATTTATCTTATGGGATATATTGTTTATACTATAATATAATTGTCACTCACACTAACCTGGATAAGGACTAAATCATTTCATAGTTCATCATATATGTAGGAGTGTGAAATAAAAAAGTGGTAATACTCGATATTAGAAATATTATATACACTATGACTATATTTGATGTCAAAACACACACATATATAGATACATATATAATGTGTGCATATATATATAAACGTATGATAATTTTGCATTGATCAATTCATATATAAAAATGACATATCATTTGTACTCACTCACTCATATACACATAGATATACGCACATAATACGTATACACTCAATACAGTTGTGCATTTTGTCATGAATAAAACTAATTAAACCGTAAGTAAACCTTAGAAATTAATTAACTATTCGATGAGATTAATAATTTATGTCAGATTACTTAGTTATACAAACGTGATTACTAACATTAGTTTTGGTAATTTGAATCAAATTACACTAGTCGATATTACAGAAATTATTATTATTTGTAAACCAACAATATTAATTGTATCCAACATAGATACACGTATGTGTACGCATAAAACAATCATACCTATACAATATGAGTGCATAAGCTAAATTTCGTATAGGAGTAATACAAAGTAGACATATTAATTCTGATGACCAATAAAATAAGAAAGTGCATGTAAATGGATAAAAAGAAAAAAAGATAATAAACCAATAATGATACGATAAAAAAAACTGAGAACTGATTGGCCGTTTTATGACCATTTTAATACTACATTTATCCTTTGTCACATAATAATGACCGGATATTTTATGGATAAATGCTAATTTGATCTACAGAGATATTCGACTTAAACGGATACTTATTGTGCTTCTTGAAATTCGCTCAACTGAGGTTTATGTATCCTCCTCCATGACCAAATTATTAGTTCACTCATTTGAATCGTTTCAGTATTTTACCTATCGACTGAACATTCATAAAAAATTCATTACAAAACAGATAAGTTATGAGTTAAAAAAACATGTGTTCACAAGGAAATAATTACAAACAAATTGTATCTCTAACGAAATAAAGAAGGAGAATAAAGTAGTTTGACATCAGCTCTGAAATATGTATAAAATATACCATGAACATTAATTTTAAATCACTGTTTGAATGTTGAAAGATCATAGGATTTCGGTAATTATATCAGTAACAAATATTTCAATAAGCAAAGATGGATGGTAGCTAGCAGTGGAGTCCAGGACGCACGTTTCATTCTATTTGGAACTCATCAGCTGGATATGCCTGCTTCCAGAGTTTATATTCACCCCGGGACTCGAACCCAGTACCGTCCGCTTCAAACGCCATCGCTTTATCCACTTAGCTTCTTAGTCCTGATCACCACTAGCTTATGCAATAATGGTGAAGTTTGAATTTATTTGGCATTTGTTTGAATCTTCCCATCGATGTTTAGAACTGCAATTGATTAATCTCTTATTGGCATATGTGGATCCTGTGCGGATTGCCTAGATATTGCCTTAAATCACAAGCATTATAAGCAAAAATGGATGGAAATTAGATTATCTTTTTCCGTTCATTTGAAAATGGAGGGACTAACAGTAGAGAAATATTTCAGAGGAATGACAATTTAAACGTAATACACCCATTGAGTAAAAACTAGAAAGATTGGTTCAGCGAAGAGTTCTCTTTTCAGCGAATTCATTTTCAAAACTGTACAGTCGCAAATATATATACTTCTTTTTCAGGATGATAATAATACTGATAATAAACTTCTGTTAGACATGGTTTGTTTTCAAATTTGGGTGTGAGATTTACTGCTGGGTGGCGTTTATTAAATTTCTTTAGAAGATGATTCAAACCATATTTGTCACAAATGACAATATCATCTACGTACCTTTTACACAAGTGGATGTTATTGGTAGTTGTTTTAAGTTGGTTGATTTCTAGACTGGCCATGAAGCAATTTTCTCCATACTCTTCTTCCTTTACAGCCATCTGCTTCCCCTTCCATTTTCTTAAACCTTCTATCCCCAACTGGTTAATTTCTGTTTCTATGA